ACCATATCAGTTATTTTAACAGAGAGAATTTGATATAGGGAGTTGGTTAGAGAACGCGTTGCTGGAGAATCAAAAGAGCAAAGAAAGGACCTCTGACGGCTGAGAGAGCAAAGGCAGAGATTGTGGGGATTAGAAACTGGATGCTTGGGCCAGGTGCTCAAGCCTGTAATCTCAGCACTTTGGGAGGCCGGGGTGGGCAGATCACAAGGTCAAGAGATCGAGACCATCCTGGCCAACCTGTTGAAACCCCATCTCTACTAAAAATACAAAAATTAGCTGGGTGTGGCGGCCTGCACGTGTAGTCCCAGCTACTAGGGAGGCTGAGGCAGGAGAATGCTTGAACCCGGGAGGCGGAGGTTGCAGTGAGCCAAGATTGTGCCACTGCACTCCAGCCTGGTGCCTGGTGACAGAGTGAGACTCTGTCTCAAAGAAAAGAAAAAAAGAAACTGGATGCCTGACAGAAGGACCCGTGGAGCTGAGACACAGACGGCTAAGGAAGGGGTGGCGGCTTCTGATGTACTGTTATTGCAGTAGCTTAGGGCCCTGCAGAGCTGAGCCTTGGCTGGTGCTGGGAAAGTGCAAAAGAGAGCAGGAAACTGGAGCCAACTGGCACTGCCAGGGTGATGGGCCATCGCCACTGACACTCTCACCAAGCACTCAAGAAGGAGCAAGTCCTTTCTTCAAGTCCAGCCTCCGTCTCCCTGGTACCTTGACTGGCAAACAGCAAAAGAGAAACACGATTGCCGAGAGCCCAGTTAAAAAGCAGAGGAGTGAGGGCTAGATTTGAGCTGAGAAACAGCTCCACTAGATGGCCCACCCATTCACTCATCACGTACACTTACGGAGTGCGTCCTGTGTGTCAGACTGTGAGGCTCTCTGGTAGGTGCTGGGGAATCTGGAAAATTCAATGGGAAAATGCTAGGAAAGTGCAAAGCTCAGCTATTAGTACAAGGTGAACTCTCTATTAAAAATAGCTCTCTTGACTCCAGCCCAGTGGGAAACATAAAGGAAAAGGAAATGGAAAACAAACCAAACAGAACGAGAAACTAGCTCTGACCTTCAAGGAATCTCATGTTTAGATTAAGTGTTGTGGGATAAGCCCCGTAGCAAAGTACAGAGTGATACATGTTTGTACAGTTTGCCGAGAATGCCGGACATCATTGTTTTAAGAATTCAAGGAAGCAAGAGAATATTTAAGGGCAGGGAAGCCTTCACAAAGAAGATGGGAATGATCAAGACCCAAGATTTAGACAATGGCCAGAAAGGCTAAGACCGCCGCGAATGGGAGAAAGCACACAGGCAAATCAAACATGGTGGAAATGTGCTGCTGTGTAGGCTGCCACCCTGGTCTCAAGGAATGGAGGATGGATTCTTGATGTGGAGCATGGATATCGGAGCCAGTGGATCCTTTCTGGACCTATTCTGACGCATAGCTAAGCCGCTGGAGCTTTGCGAATGAGCAGAAATTACATGTGGAGACCAGGCGCGGTGGCTCAAGCCTGTAATCCCAGCACTTTGGGAGGCTGAGGCGGGTGGATCATGAGGTCAAGAGATCGAGACCATCCTGGTCAACATGGTGAAACCCCGTCTCTACAAATGGTGCAAAAAATTAGCTGAGCATGGTGGCGTGTGCCTGTAATCCCAGCTACTCCAGAGGCTGAGGCAGGAGAATTGCCTGAACCCAGGAGGCGGAGGTTGCGGTGAGCCGAGATCGCGCCATTGCACTCCAGCCTGGGTAACAAGAGCGAAACTCCGTCTCAAAAAAAAAAAAAAAAAAAAAAAAAAAAAAGAAATTACATGTGGAAAAGGCCATCCTTATCGCCCCTAACATATCTAACTCAATGCCTTGTAGATAGTGGACTGTTTGGGAGTGAGAAATATGACATTAAATGGGGTGAGATGGGATGGGATGGGATTAAACAGAATTACAAAGGCAGGTCTTAACTTTGAAAATCTTTTGGAGAGAGATCCAAGATGGCTGATCACTAGCAGCTCGGGATTGTAGCTCCCACTGAAAACGCAAAGAACGAGAGGACACCATACCTTCATATGAATTCTTGTTGCTCACGCACCAGGCGATTCCCAGCAGAGGAGCCCCACGGGTCGCCAGCGCGATTCTTGTGACCGGCGAGGCGGCTTTGCCGGCGCCTCGGAGCGTCGGTTCTTGGTGCAGAGTCAGAAAAGCACCATCCATCTTAATGCCGCTGATTTAGTAGGCACAGTGGGTTGCTCAGATTTCGGCGCTGAGAATCAATAAGTTGGACGTCCACTCAGAAACCCAATTACAAAGACGGTAATTATAAAGACCACAGATGGATAAATCTACAACGAAGGGAAGAAAACAGCCCAAAAAGGCTGAGAATACCCAAGATCAGAATGCCTCTCCCTCACCAGGGGATCCCAGTTCCTCATCAGCAACGAAACAAGGCTTGATGGAGAACGAGTGGGTTCCAATTACAGAAGCAGGCTTCAAAACGTGGATAATAAGAAACTTCTGTGAATTAAAAGAACTTATGCTAATACAATCTAAAGAAACTAAGAACTTTGAAAAAAGGTTTGACGAAATGTCAACAAGAATACAAAATTTAGAGAGGAAAATAAGTGAATTGATGGAACTGAAAAACACAATACGAGAACTTCGTGAAGTATGCACAAGTTTTAACAGCTGAATTGATCAAGCAGAAGAAAGGATATCAGAGGTCGAAGACCAACTCAATGAAATAAAACAAGAAGACAAGATTAGAGAAAAAAGGATAAAAAGGAATGAGCAAAGTCTCCAAGAAATATGGGACTATGTGAAAAGACCTAATCTACGCTTGATAGGTGTACCTGAATGTGACGAAGAGAATGAATCCAAGCTGGAAAATATGCTTCAGGATATTATTCAGGAAAATTTTCCTAACTTAGTAAGGCAGGATAATATTCAGCTTCAGGTAATACAGAGAACACCACAAAGATATTCCTCAAGAAGAGCAACTCCAAGGCACATAATCGTCAGATTCACCAGGGTTGAAATGAAGGAGAAAATACTAAGGGCAGCCAGAGAGAAAGGTCAGGTTACCCACAAAGGGAAGCCTATCAGACTCACAGCAGATCTCTCAGCAGAAACCTTACAAGCCAGAAGAGAGTGGGGACCAATATTCAACATCCTTAAAGAAAAGAACTTTCAACCAAGAATTTTACATCCAGCCAAACTAAGCTTCATAAGTGAAGGAAAAATAAAGTTTTTTGTGAACAAGCAAGCACTCAGAGAATTCATCACCACCAGGCCTGCTTTGCAAGAGCTTCTGAAAGAACCACTACACATAGAAAGGAACGAACAGTATCAGCCTTTCTAAAAAATACCAAAAAGTAAAAAACATCAATATAATGAAGAATTTACATCAACTAATGGGCAAAATAGCCAGCTAATATTAAATGACAGTATCAAACTCACATATATCATTATCAATTCTAAATTTAAATTGACTAAATTCCTCAATTCAAAGACAGGCAATTTGGACAAAAAACTAAAACTGTATGCTGCATCCAGACCCATCTCACATTCAAGGATACACAAAGACTCAAAACAAAGGATGGAGAGAGACTTACCAACCAACCAGAGAGCAAAAATAAATAAATAAAAAGCAGAAGTTACAATTTTTGCCTCTGATAAAATAGTATTTAAAGCAACAAAGATCGAAAGAAGCAGAGAAGGACATTATATAATGATAAAAGAATTAATGCAACAACAAGAAGAGTTAAAGGTCCTAAATATACACGCACCCAATACAGGAATACCCAGACATACAAGACTTATAAAGAGACTTAGACTCCCACACAATAATAGTGGGAGACTTCAACATTAATATTAGACAGATCAATGAGACAGAAAATTAATAACGATATCTAGGACTTGAACTCAGATCTGGAACAAGTAAACGTAATTAACATTTATAGAACTCTCCACTTTACACAAAATATACACTCTTATCAGTACCACATCATATCAACTTAGAAGTTTAAACGCAATGTTGGTTGGCTCCTTGTTTGTTACTCTCTTCCCTCATTTTCTTTCATGTCTCCATTATTAAGGACAATTATAGGCATACCCATATTTAGACTGCATTCTAGCCCGGGCAGCAAAGCAATACCCCCATTCTCTCTCCCTCTTCCTCTTTCTCTTTCTTCCTCTTCTTTATTCTTTTTCTTATTAAAAAAAAAAAAAGAAAAAGAAAAAGAAAATCTTTTGAGAAAATATGTTGAGCCTAATTATTTTTTTTTTTTCTTTTTCTTGAGACGGAATTTCCCTCTTGTTGCCCAGGCTGGAGTGCAATGGTGCGATCTCGGCTCACTGCAACCTCTGTCTCCCAGGTTCAAGTGAATCTCCTGCCTCAGCCTTCTGAGTACCTGGGATTACAGGCACGTGCCACCACGCCTGGTTAATTTTTTGTATCTTTAGCAGAAACAGAGTTTTGCCATGTTGGCCAGGCTGGCTGGTCTCGAACTCCTGACCTCATGTGATCCACCCACATCGGCCTTCCAAAATGCTGGGATTACAGGCATGAGCCACCGCATGCGGCCTGAGCCTAAATATTAATGTCTACTCAAGCTCTCCTAACTTTTGTATCTCCCTGTTTTAATAATACTAATAGATGCTTTATTAAAAGCTTTGTGCAATCCATGAGCAATTTTAAGATCAAACATTCAGTAACTAAAGTAATTCAGGCAATGATAAAAACGTTCCATGATAAAAACATCAACAAGTAAAAATATGACCCAGCTAGCAAGACACTGTTCATCCCATGGATGGAAACCCTGTTATCAGAGTGAACCTGACTTTAGCTTTGAAGACACTGCGGGGAGCTGATGAAAATATCATGGGCTTATTTTTAAAAGTGTTGGGCAATATGCTTTTGAATAAATGTAGTAATTCATGTGAAAACAATCTTGGTGCAAATTTTGAACCTGTTTGCAGATAAAACATACTCACAACTAATCTATTGTTTTCTTCTTCGCAGATCCATTGCAAGATTTTGGCTTTTCTATCGAAAAGTGTTCCAAGGAATTAAAACCAAATGTCAACATTAGATTTGGAATTATCCTGAGTAAGTTTCAAAAAATGATTAGCATGAAATAAAGCATTTCACAGCCTCTTCCGACTCCACACACCCAATGACTGTGTTAACTATAATGACTCGCTAAAATATTGTACCTTCACCACTCTCTGGAATTCACTCTATTACGTCTTCCTTTTCAAATCTCTCTCTGGGTAAAATCCAGGTAGGGTAGAACTCTCATTTAATGCTGTACTTTTGTGTATAAGACTTCAGACACTCATTTGGACTATATAAGCACCTGAAATCAGTACGACCAGCAAAAAAATGAAAATATTTGGAGATTAAGTATCAATATCTACTCAGCCTCTCTTAACTTTTGCTTAGTTAGCAACAAATAAAACTACTACCAGCAGTATGGTTGTCATTTGTGTTATTTTGTATCCCAAATAGTTCATACAAGTTCTTAAGCCTGGACAAAGGCAAGGAGAGGAGGTAATATTTCCTCCCCAACCCCAATCAATCAGCTAGAGTACTTTCTGACTGTTCAACTTTCATGTGATCGTGCAATTACGGTTAGTCAATATATTTGCTATAACTACTAGACTACCTCCTTTTCCAAAACAGTTATATCAAAATCAAAGTCGAGAGGTTTTAAAAACTTAACATGTGGAATCATTCGAGAGAAATGGAGGGAACGTTCACAGAAATCAAGAACTCTCACGCATCTTTGTATTTCTGAAATCTCACACGGTATCTGGGCTCTAGCGGCAGCTCAAGAAATGTTATAGGGAGGGAAAAAAAAAAAAGAGAAAAAAGAGACATGGAAGAGTGGGTGGAACACGAAAGGGAGGAATGGAGAAAAAGACGGAATTGGAAGCCACGCCCATGGAACCCGCTGCCGCTTCCTGTGTACCCGTGCCGCAATACCTCCTGGGCGATGGTAGCAGGTGTGTGCAGGCTGACCACACCCCATCACCACCATGGGGAACAAATGATACTATGCAGCTGGGAAGTTCCAGAAGCCAGACCTGCAGATGTAACTATTTGTATCCCAAATAGTTTAAAAGGCCATAGCATCAGGGTGGGGAGCTCAGCTGATTAGCTACCTTGTCCAAGCAGGTATTTTGAGAAACGGCCACCTTTCATACCCAGGGTCCCATCGTAATCCCCTGTAGCGCTAAGTGCTGTTTTACTAAGGAAAGAAAACTGTTCCCCACAGAGAGCAGAGTAATGGAAACAAAAGGTTCTTTAGCTCATACTGCCTTACACTGTGAATGCCTTTGATACACAGTGAAACACACAGTAAGAGTAAAGCTGTTCTTCTCTTTCCTCCAGGAGAGGACATCAAAGAGCTATTTCTTGATCTAGCTCTCATGTCTAAAGGCTCATCTGTTTTGAATTTCTCCTATCCCATCTGTGAGGAGGCTCTGCCCAAGTTTTCTTTCTGTGGAAGAAGGAAAGGAGGTAAGTCATCTGACTTGCTCACTGCTGGCAGGGGCCTGCAGAGAGATCAACACAAACTTGCGTCTGAGGCCGGGACACCCAGATCAGAGCCTGGGCTCTGCCCCTCGCCTTTGGACGGGCTTATCCTCACTTATCAGCCTGTGTTACATAAAAATAACATTCCATCGGCCCATTCCGTAAGGCCTACCTTACAGGGCTATTGTGAAAATCAAAATGAAATGACACATGTGAGATGCTTGAAAATAGACCACTGCTACTGTGAGTAGCAACATCTTATAAAAAGGGCGGGCAGCAGAAAGAGCCAAGAACTTCCAAAAACCCACTGAGGTTCAGAGTGCTTCCGAGTTTTCCCGCCACAACTTCCATAGTGGGAGGGTGTCCTTAGTATAGTCATGGACTTCAAAAAAGGGAAAAATGAAACTTACATCACTGCCTTTCCCACGTGGGTCACTGACTAACAGGGGCATTAGGTAGTTACACTCGAATTACAGAGACGGAAACTCCATTATATTAGCTACCTTTTCTCCAGTGCACCAACTCTCTACCCCCACCATACAGCCTCAAAGAAAGAGCAGGTCACCTGTGCCCACCTGTCCCTATCTCTCCTTTCCTCCTTGTCTTCCCAAGGCTCCCCCAAGGCTCTGAGACTCTTCCGTGGTGTAGTTAAAACCTGGCTCTGTTCTCTGACTATCCTTCCCCAAGAGTGGTTCTCTCCCAGCTACTCTCCCCTCCCAGGGTCTCCTTCCTACTCCTATTGGCTAAGGCAGGGCATACCCCCAACACACCCCTCACCCAACAGCTCAGAAATACCCCTTTATCGAATTCCTCATTCAAGAGAGCTAGAATTTTAAACCGTCAAGTTCCTTGTGAAATGGCGCAATCACTCCTTTTAAATGAAAGATCTAGAAGAAATCGGAATCTCCTTCCTACACTGAGGCATGCAGACAAAAAGAAAACAAGGAACTTCAGGGAGGGTTGACCAGATGGAAGCCGGGGGAACCCTGCTGGCATCTGTCGACAGCTTGGCTCCCTCACCACCCTCGCCATCCTCCCCAGCGTGCGGCACACCACTCTATTCTAGCGTTTGCCATGCTGAGCTGTCCTGGTTTACTCCCACATATGCTCCACGTTGGACACAAGCTGCTTGAGAGTAGGGTCATATCACCTTTGTGTTTTTACACCCAGTATTTCCAATGTGGCTGACACACAGAGAGCGCAAATAGAGACACACACAGAACAAAATGGCTAACATGACTGAGCATTCGTACCAAGCCCTGTTAAAGGAGCTTTAGATCCAGTAAGTCATTTACTTCCCACCCCAACCTTACAAGTTAATAGGGTATTAATATTCCAACTTTATAAATGTGGAAACTGAGGCACAGAGTTTAGGAACTTGCACCAAGTCACAGAGCCTGAGGGATCCATAGCTTGAACCCAGGCACACTGACTCCAATCTTAGCTTTAATGAATGAATGAATAAAAGAACAAACAATACAATAAATAAAGATGTCTTGCTTTTGGACAGGGGTTTATTGAAAATTATCATTTAAGAAATCTTTCTGCCCAGTGATCTGACTTTGTTTCATATTGGAACCTTTTTTATTCTTAGCTCACCCACCTTAAAATGATAAGTCCAGTTTCCTCTCTCAACTTACTGGAGAGATTTATTTTTAATCAAGTATGTTCATGCATTTCTCAGAATGCTGAGCTCATCATTAGTCCATCCCTATTTAACCTTTTCCACCTGCCCTCAGCTGGGCAGACCCTGAACTCCTCACCCACAGTCAGTCCTTTCTCCCTCCTCCCCTGCCTCCCGCCCCTCCCTTCCTCCCTCCCTTCCCTTCCTCCCTCCCTCCCCTTCCTCTCTCCCTCCCTTCTCTCCCTCCTTCCCTATCTTCCCTTCCTCCTTCCCTCTTTCCCTCCCTTTCTTCTCTCCCTCCCTCCCTTCTTCCCCTCCTTCCCTCCCTCCCTTCCTCTCTTCTTCAGCCACATCTTGCTCCATGTGCCAGCCATACATACCTTAGGCAGTTGCCTTAAGGACTTGTTTGCCACTTTCTCTTCAGAGCCTGCATTTTAACATATGCAACATCGTTTGGACGGTCCCCTTAGTATGTATGGCCCACTTGCCATTTGCTTTTTATCCAGATCTAGCTCAAGTATCTCTCTCTCTGTCTCTAGCTTCCTCCAGCCCCAGCAGATAAAGCGTTTCCTCTGGGTGCTCTGAGAGCATCATGTTCCTACTGCTGCTGCAGCCCTTACCCCAGCTGGAATGGAATTTTATGGTTAGAGTGTGTGTCCCTCCCAATTAAACTTCAAACTCCTCGAAGGAGGGCATATTTCTTGCTCCTGTCTGTCTCTGCAGACATGGCAAAGAGAGCTGGCACAAAGTAAAGGTACAATAGATACTTGTTTTATTGCATTTGCATGTGAACATACGGTGGATTGAACACAGGTATAAGGTGAACAGAGCTCACCTTTAAAACGACACTTCAGGCTGCTTACGTGTGGCATAAAGACACAACATGCATCAAACTGTAGTGCAGAGTACATTTTCCTGGTCCTTGCTATGTTTTCCTGTGTATGGTTTTAATAGGATTGAGAAAACAGAAGAGAGATGGTTCCCTAAATCAGTTTGAGGTGTTCAGTTCAGTTTAGCAGCTGAAAAGGCTGACGTTTTTTCTTATTTGAATGCTGGGCAGCTGGGCAGCCATGTATTTGCTTTATTTTAATGGGAGTGATGACTGCATAGGCAAGCTGAGACGCTGGCATCGGGGAAATTGCCAGGAAACTTCATACAGTGCCAAATGATCAGAAAAATGATACACAAATGCTGCGTGAACAAATAGTTATATGAACTACATAAGCCAGAGAAACTAAAATCTTAAATTGAGAGGCTTCTTGGATTATTAAACTTTTTAACCCACCACAAACCTCCTGTAGGAGTGATTCTATTCCAAAGAAGTGATTAATACTAAGACCAGAGCCGGGAGAATGGCACTTGGGAGAACTAAAGTGAATCCAAATCCAAGCTCAAGCTGCTGTCGCCATGTTACGCATAAAAAGGAGTCTCTCTGGGGCTTGCAGGTCCTTCGTAGCAGAGCGGTGAGGAAACTGAATGTCCACCGTGGGCGGCACATTACGGTGTCACTCACAGTTGAGCTATTTGGCGTTATTGCCATGGCCTTACTATGCTTCTCATTTACATTCTTCTACAAGCTGCATCTCGCCAGCTTTTCTCCAAGCCAGATGAAACTACAAAATGGGTCAGGCTTAGTGAGATGGAAATGTTGCCCCCTTTTCCCTCTGTGTTGTCCTCAGCTTGCTCTAAGGCAAGCGTCACATTGGATTCAAAGACCAACTGATGATCCTTCAGTATCATTACTTACACTGTGATTGACGATTTGGGAGAAATAGCGTATACGACCAATGATAGGACATAGACTATGCAGGTCATTATTCAGCCAAACAAAGGCACAATATGCTGTGATTTTCAAATGATGCCGTAGGTTACTAAATTGCATGAAAATATACTTGTAAGAATATTACGTGACAAAGAAGCATAGCCACTATTGAATCCTGTTGCATAAAATGCCTGTAAGTGTATACACCACACAAAACTCTGAAAGGCTGAGTCTGCTTATCTCTGCAGATCTTTATTTTCATCTTTTTTGAAAATCTCACTTGCTTTTATGATAAATTTACAAGGTTACTCTTTTAAATGTGAGTTTATCACTGTAGGAAAGAATAGAGAGAATAAATTCTGTTCCCCTAGGAATAAATCTAAGAGTTTTCAAAGAGAATTACAGCCTGTGTACTATTCAACGATATTTGGAGTTGAATAGAAAGTTCTGAATCAAAGAGTTGCGTAGAACATCAAGGGATCATCTAACAGCCATCCTCTTGCCTGGGATGCCCACAGCCCCATTTACTCAGGCTGTGGGCTCCCTGAGAAGGAGACACAGCCACTGTTTTCCTTTCTGCTCTGTTAATGCTGCCTCAGTCCTTCTGTCTCCTCTAATAGCATCGAGTCGTTTAGATTTATTTGCTTTAGTTGATCTCCATGCTTTCAAGCAGGGTCCATAAGCTAGACAGCCAATTCTAAGACTAAGTTGAGCTTCGCTAAATGTCCTTAATGACCACACCTAATTCCTAGCCTGAAGGAGGGAAGCTGCAGCCAAGTCCCTCAATCCTCAAGAACAATAATGCCGATCGAACCCCTGTGTGGTTAGGGAGCTTTGGTCTGGTCTGCAAACGCCAAGCATGCCCTTACCCCAGCGGGTCTCCGTCTTGGTTGCACATTAACTACTCCTGTGCTTTCCCAAGCAGCGACCACAAGCCACAGGTCGCTGCTGAGCCCCTGAAATGTAGCCAGCCTGAATTGAGATGTGCTGTAACGGTAAAGAACAGACTCCGTTTCAAAGCTTTAGCCTGAGAAAAAGAATGTCAACTGTCTCGATCGTGGTTCCACTGGTTGTTGAAAGGTTAATATTTGGAATCTACCGAGTCAAGTTGAATTTATCATTAATATATGACTTTAATTATTTGTCAATAAGATATGAATATTATATTAAAATTAATTTCACCTTTTAAAATGTGGCTACGAGAAAACATAAGATTATATGTGTGACTCTCTTTATATTTTTATTGGACAGTGCTGCATTATTATCTCCCTTTACGATTTTGAGGGTCCCAACATCCAGGCCATACCCTAGACCAATGAAATCAGAATCTCTAGGAGTGAGAATCAAGCCAGGTGGTGACCAGAAGTGCTCTGTGTTGAGAATAAATGAGGAAAAACAATGTTTTTCCTATATACAGCCTCATTTTAACAGATGAGGAAACTGAGTCTCAGGGAAGTTAAGTAACTTACCCAAGGTCACAAAGCCAGCAGGCAGTGGAACTGGGTTTCTGTCCAACTCCAAACCCCTCTGCTGTATATCTTCCTTAAACATAAAGAAAGCTTTGCTAGAGAAAAAGTAAATTTATTTCAGCCCTCCACT